ACATATACAAAATACAATAAAAATAACAAAATTAGATAATTTACTTTGTATCCACGTACAATTAGAAAATCAATAAGTTAAGAAAGCTTCCCTGCAATGATCTTATCCAATGGGGAGTATTCTCAACGACCCTACCAATAACGTCAAATATGTTAATAAAAAAAAAAAAGAATTCAGATGTAGATTAAAATTGTAAATGAAACTTACCAACAAATTGTTTATCATCTACAGACTTCAAAGATGAAAATGATTTCAATAAATAAATTTGTCTAGAAAAGTTGTCATTTTTTTATATTCTTTAACCAAAGTACCATAGTGGAATTACAACATAAAATAATGAGTGCATTTTTTGAAAATATAGAAATTACTTATCACCATAAAATTTTTAATGGCATAAACTTTTCATTGTTTGAAAAGCTTACAGTACTTACCAACATGTTCCCTTATATGAGCATGAAGTTTCCTACAATGAAGTAAAAAAGAAAAGTGTTATTTTACAATTTATTTTTGCAGTATAGGAAGCAGTTTTGTAATGCATTTTTTCCCCAATTTCATATACAACACGAGTTCTAGAAAAAAGCAAAATCGAAAAAAATACCATTTGATCGGGAAATATGCACTCTCTAAATTTTATGGAATCACTCCCCTTTATCTATGGGACTTCATATAGGTGCACACCAATCACCATCTAATAGCTTTGAAAGTCTTCAATGGAGAAATATCCTAGGCAAGAATAAACATTGGAGTCGTATAAAAAAAGCAAAATTGAAAAAAAAAAAAAAAAAAAAAAAAAAAAAAAACCTCTTGATCGTGAAGCATGCACTCTATAGATTTTATGGATTCACTCCCCTTTCTCTATGGGACTTCATATAGGTGCGCACCAATTGCAGTCTAATAGCTCTGCAAGTCTTCAATGGAGAAATATCCTGGGCAAGAATAAATATTGGAGCCGTAACAGTTGTATGTTAATATACATATCTATATCTCTATATATACTTACTCAATATAAAAGAATGAATAAATAAATATAAGGAAAAAATATTACCAATTAATAGATTTACCAATTAGGTTAATACTTGAATATGGAAACAATATTATCAATTAATAGATTTTAATTAATTTCAATTTTACATGTCTCTCTCTATACTTCTATGGACCTCTATATATACTAAACTAGATACTAAAATTAGTCTAGGAAACTACTAATAAGAATAGGAAAGTAAGACAAATTTCCTAATATTCAACACTTGTGATTTATTTTTGGTTGTAAATATTCGTTTCCTTTTCTTTCCTGATCTTTTGGTATTTATTTCTTTATCTTGGTATTTTTCCTTTTTTGTCATTAGCTTTCTTGGAGCAGAGAACAACCCTCTTCGTGTTGTGTGATTTCTTTCCTTAACACATTTAGTTACCAAATAAGTTTTACTACAAAAATTTGGGTGGAAAAATGAAATAGGAGGATTTACTTTTATATATATATAGATATAGATTGCAAATAGATTACACATACAAGGCAGTATGTGACATGCATGAGAAAAAATATATTTTGCATGCTAATTATAAATAAAAAATAAAAAGAAAATTTCATAGTTACTGGATAAATTAACTCTCCATGCAAACATATTGGTTCATTTTTCATTAATCAGAGTACTAAGATATTCACTGCATGCCAAGCACCTTGTGCTCAGATGGTATGTAGTGACCTCTTTTATGTGGGAGGTTATGAGATTGAGTTTCAGTGGAGGTGTTGTTGACTTTTTGTGCTTCATTAGGTTGAGAAAGTATATTTGAAGAGATACTATAATGAGAACAAGAAAATAAATGAGAGAAAACATGGAGAAAGAAAAATCAGACCATCTTTCCATGTCTAGTCTATGTATACAACTGAATTCTCTGTACATTAAATAAAAAATAGGGAAAAGTAGTTAAGTGAAATAATGACCACCAAAATTATATATAACATTATTATTATTAGGGAAAGAGTCAAATAAGCCCTCAAACTTTACCTATAAAGTCAATTAAGTCCTCAAACATTACAAAGTTGCAATTAGACCCATAAACATGTCATTTTGATGCATTGAAGCCCAGCAACCAATTGATGACCTGTTTTTGCAGGTCACAAAAAATTCTGGCGCCTTTCTAACTCATTGCGGTGAATTTCCGATCAACTTCACAACAAATGGAAGAAAAACACAGGAAAAAATTGACCAAAAAATCACATGCCGGAGAAGGCAGTTCTCACTGGAGAAGGTCTCCTCACCGAAGTGAGAATGGGGAGAAGGCAACCTCACCAGAAGGATCCATGGTGACCTACGATGAAAATTTTGAGCACAATTAACCAATCTCACCAGGCAGCTGCATCACCCATTAACACAATCAATCACCAAAATTCAAATTTAGAGCACAACTTTCAATTAATTTTACAAAAGTAGATGTAGGCCTACAATGGAAAAGATTAGAATGTTCTGTGATATTCCTTTCATCCATTCCAAAATTAAAATTGAAGTCTTACACTCTTACCAATGGGTGATCAGATTAAGGATGTCGTCGTTATTGTTGGGGCTGTCGGCGGACATGAGGAAAGGGAAAGTGAAGAAGAAGAAAAGAGATGTGATGGCAGTTCCACCTCGGCTCTTCCGAGAACCATTTGGAGGTGGAGGACACAGCGGAATGGATTACCAAAATGGTTTTTTCCGCGGAATGGATCACTCAGATGGCGACAGGGGCGGAGGGACATGGTGGCTACAGGGGGCCTTGGCCCAGTTGTTATATTATAGACCGTGGTGCATAATCAATTATGCACCGCGGCCCATATACGGCGCCGTTTCTTTAAGTAAAGAAACGACCCGCCATTAGAGTTAACGGAGTCTGTTTGTTTGATGTATTAAACACCAACTGATACTATAGTATATTCAAACCGACACTGCAGTTATATCAAAATGATACTGTAGTTATAGTAAAATGAAACTGCAGTGTATATAAACTGAAACTGAATAACATTTCACATATTTGAGTGTATATTGTACAATGAAGCTGTAATTATATCAAAATAATCATGTAGTTGTGTTTTAATAAAACTATAGTGTATATAAAATAAAATTAAATAACATTTTCACATATTTGAGTCTATAAATATCGAATGAAACTATAGTTATATCGAAATGAAACTGTAGTTGTGTTCAACTGAAACTGCAGTGTATACAAAATGACACTGAATAACAGAGTTACTTTTTGCAAAAGGGTACGAAACGGCGGAAATAAACACTGTTAATTTTCATTTAAAAAAAAAAGACGCGCGGTGCATAATCGATTATGCACCGCGGTGCATAATATAATTTGCCGCCTTGGCCCCCCTCAAAAAAAAAATATATATATTAGTAGGGTAGATAATTTAGTTTTTAGAGAACATGGTAACGGGGGCCTTGGGCCTTTGGCCCCCCCTAAAAAAATTATTAATAATATATTATTTTTTAGCCATCCACTTCACCAAAGTATGGATTGTTATGCAGTGGAATCGTGTCCACTTTGCAAGGTGGACACGGTTCTATATTCATAATTATTGAACTCTATTTTCATAATTATAAAGCTCTATGTTCATAATTTTTGAACTTTATATTCACAATTATTGAACTCTATATTCACAATTAGAAAACTCTATATTCATAATTACTGAATTCTATGTTCATAATTATAAAACATTATGTTCATAATTTTTTAACTTCATATTCACAATTATTGAACTCTATATTCACAATTATAGAACTCTATGTTCATAATTATAGAACTCTATGTTCATAATTTTTGAACTCTATATTCATAATTAATTGATACGATTAATTCCCGGTTGTACTCGTAGAATGTATATTGTGTAGGTATATAAAGTGTATATTGTATGTATGAACAATGTATGTAAGCTCAAAGACTCTTTTATTCATTGATAACTTCTTGCATGTTTAGAGAGAAGGGAGAGCCCTAGATAGAGAGAGAGAGAGTGTAGTGGAAATGAAGGGGATGAACCCCTAACTTGGAGAGCTAAGGCCCTATTTATAGGTCAAGGGTTGGCTGGTTGACCTTGACCCGAACCGTATGTCCCGACCCAAGTAGGAGCACGGAGCGTACGGGGAGTCTAAACCTGGGGTATATTCCCCATCAATTATAAACAATTTTGGAACTGTGTCCACACGGTTCCACATCATAATTTTCCCCAAAGTATCTGCACTCTCCAAACAAAAACTTTGAGACTAAGATTTCAAAATCTTATTTGATTCGCAATTGGCCCTTGCCAAAAATATGATTTCTTCTTCTTGAACATACGCAATCACATATTGTCTAACACGCTCTAAATTTCTTCTTGAAATATGTATAAGCCAAAAATATGGCTTATACATATTTCTTATTCTTTTTTTTTTTTTTTTGTTTCCCAATTTCTTAATGATTGTTTTTTAGTATACATTAAAAAACAAATTGAAAAACAATTTAGTATAGATTCAATTATAGGCGATTTTCGTGACACGCAAAAAAGACATTATAAATTTTAGTAGATTTGTAATATAATAATATATTTTGAAATAGGTTATTAAACATTTTTTTTGGCCAAATATTGAATTCAAATATGATTTCAACTGCATTTGGCAAGTTTTTTTAAAATTATTATATTATATTTTAAAAATAAGTTAGAATTATAAAATATATATAAAAAGTATTAAATTATAAATATAATGATAAAATATTAAGATTCATATTTTTTTTTTTGAAATACTAATGACTCTTAACTGATAATATCTGTTCTATACTTTATTTTCTCAAACGTTTTCAACCTCCATTACTAAAATTCGAATCTATAATAAAATTCATTAAAAATGATATCATTACCCTACATCCATTTAAGATATTAACATCCATACTTAAAGTATGAGATATTGTAAAAAATGTGAATAGTATCACTCTCATATCTATATGTGGCCAGAAGCCAGTCGTTGACGTGTCTAATTGACCACTGCATTCTACCCATGCCGAAACCGAGACCCTCATTCACCAACCATCAAAATCAAAATCAAAATCAAAATCAAAATCGTCATAATTCGAGATTTTAAAAATCCCCCAAATTCACAAATTACCGAATATTCGAATTTAGGGTTCTTCCCCCGTCTGTGTTCTCTTTCCTATATTCGTATATCCCTTAAAAACGCAAATAAATCAGCGACTGTTTGATTCGAGCGCTAAGTTCTCTCTCTCGACGTTGAAAATAGGTATCGGTATTTCGGATTCACATCTCATTTTTTATGTAAATTATTTACTTCGTTATTTGTTTGCGGTAATAAAAAATCAACAGATCTATTGAAGAATTTGGTGATTATTTTTGAAAATTCGTAGCTTTGGAGTACACTTTTGTTGTCAATACAATGAACGTTGAAGGTTTAGAATGTGAAATTATGAAGTTGGTTTTGGAGGCTCATGTTTATAGTTAGGGATTAAGGAAATGTGAGGTAGACTAGGAGTTCTTAGGAGGTAATTAATGAATAATTGTAGAATTCAGGTCCTTATAGTGTTGTAATAGTACTCTGATATTCGATCAATTGATCCCTTGAGATACAGGACTTGCAAAACTGTAGTTGAAATAAGAGATGAGAGATAAACATCTCATATTTTATGTTGGAATTGGAATGCATATAAAAGTGAAAAAAGTTGGGGAAATTGGTGGATGCAATGCATTTGAAGCAATCCATATTGAGCTTACTGATTGTAGCATATCATACTGTGACTCTTGATCATACATGAAGACCTTACAGATGTTTCTTAATCATTGACATCGAAACCCATAATGATGGCATCCTTAAAAGTGGTCTTTGTTTAGGTTTTGTCTGTGGTGTGTTTATACTTTATACTACATTGAAGATGATTGGCCTCCAGCATCCTTCAAAGAGGGTGTAGAGGGTGTTTGCACAGAGAGAGGGTTTTAAATCATCCTCACCTAGTGGGGCTGGCCGCTGGGGTGTTAGCAATTAGAATATGATGTCCTGCCTAATCTTTTCAAATGTGTGAATAATTTAGCTTTAATTGTTCTGAAGGCTTAACTCTGGATTGGTTTGTCAGCTAGGTATCATTCTGATATATTTGCAATGAAGTACCTGGAATACACTCCACTTGATCGGTAAGTCTGGAACTCATGTTTGAAATGATATGAAGTTATGAACTAATTTTCAAACCCAGGAGTATATTTAACAGCTTGTATTTCTTAGCAATCTGGTTTTGATATATTAGTTCTCTTCTTCTTCTTCTTCTTCATTTTCCTTTTTTTATTTTTATTTTTTATAAATAGTCTGTATGGTTGTATTTATTTTTAACTGCTTTTAATTAGTAAGCACTTTGTTTATTCTTTCAGTATAAGTGAATTTTTGAGTCATGTGAACCTTGGAGAGCGCACGGTTAAGGGATGTCTTGAACCTTACTCTTGTAAGTATGATAGTTATTGGCAAGTGAACTATGTTCTATTTTGACTATCTAAGGATGTTAAAAGTTCTTTTGCCCTTTGTTTTCAAGGCAAACATACAGGAACAGATAAGAAGCTGTCTCTCAGTTTGGAGAATGAGGTTAACTGAATTGATTACTTAAATTGTTTGTAGCTCATGTACTCTGATACAAATCATACTCCATTTTATGTTTTTGAACAAGTACATAGGTGATTTTGTTTTCTGTGCTCATTTATACTTTTCTTGCTTTCTATGATCTCAGTCCAAGATATCAAAGAATAGCTGTCATCCATGTGCCATGTGTCTTACTTATAGTCAAATTTCTCTCTTTGGCCTTTTTTGCTTCCTTCAGATGAGATAGCAGAAGATTATCTCAGAAAAAATAAACTTTTTCATTGAATTAGAAACCTAATAATGCATAAAAAGTATTATTATTGCTTTTGTCCTGTAGCTTTATGTACTGCACCTTTCCTATATCTATTTGACTTTAACTGTTAAATTCTTTTTGTTATGTTTTGTCCATTGCTTTTGTAGGTTGTAAGTGTTCTGAAAATAGTCCACTTATTGGATAATTATCAGTGGTTGGTGCAGTGATTTCTTTATGAATTAACTTTTGGCACTCTACAATTTTCTATCCCAGATTCTTGATTACCTTGGAAAGTCTTCTGACACAGACTCTTCTTCACCAGTTGATTATCTATGTTGTAGATCCAGGTGATTAATCCAAACTAATTGGCTGGCCTATTAAGTATATAACTGCTTAAATGGTTCATAATATATTTGTAAAATTTGTATTCCAGCCGAAAGACATTGATTTATCTGCTCCTTACTCTCAATCATATGTATCCAGACTATGACTTCAGGTAACTCTGTATCCGCTGTTGAGCCAAATTTGTTTCACTTGAGCTGAGAAGTAGGATTATGGGTACTGCCACTGTCAGCTTTTTGGGCGATATGGCATCCCACTATATAATCCTACCTTACAGCCTTGGGAGTGTTGTCAGAAGGTTTGACAGACAGTTTGGATGACTGTTGCTCTTGGAGGAGCTGAGAGTTCAAGTCTCTCCATTTCCCAAATCTGAATTCCGTTGTATTGCCCATACTGATTATTGTCCTGATGTGTATCATAGTTTTATTTATTTATTTATTTTTCTGTTGCTGTGATTTTCCAACTTTCTGGTTTACCAGTGCAGTGAATGCTCACCAATTTTTTACGGAAGAAAATTGGGATAGTTTTAAGCAGATATTCGATACCTACATGTTTGAAGCATCAAAGGTAGTTTGATTTCTATGTTCATCCATTGAACTGATATGGGTTATAGGGAATTCTCTCCATTTTTTTTTTCTTTTAACTGGTAAATAGATACAGATAGATATTAGGAAAATAGTGTTTACTGCCAGTTCATAAAGGGTATTGGTAGTTGTAAATACATGTTGCTTGTCCAAGTAGTGCGTGACCAAAAGTTGAAACTGTATCTCTGTAGGTGGGACTGCTGAAGTTTAGTTTTTCTGTATACTTACAAAATACTTGGTATCGTATCTTCAAAATATTCTATATATAGTAAGAATTTTTTGTGGTGATACTTCAGTCTTCAGTACATTTCAAGGTTAGTTTTTTGGGGTTATCATCTCTATTTGTTCCCTAACCCGGGAAATACAATTGACTGGGATGTGGTGTACTTCTTGGGGTTTCTTTTATGTGATCAGTGTTTTGTATTGTTATGGGAGGCACATGGATATGTTGTTAATGTGCCAGAAGATTAAGTTTGTTGGTTCTAGAAGGTATAATGTGTTAAGAGTCCACATTGATAAAATAAGAGAGAACATATGTGTTATTGGTTGGATTCAATCTTTTACTGTGGTTTGGCCCATGTGCATTATAGCCAAGTTGAGTGACTCTGACCTAATCTTAGATTATAACGTGTATCAGAGCCTGTTCGGTCCACATTGTGTTCACCCGGTTATGGGTATTGCGTCTAAGCTTTCGTAAGCCCGCTTGTTCGGTCCACTTTGGTGGCGTCCAAAGCTTTCGTTTCAGGGGAGGGTCTGGTCCAATTTCAAGTGGTCAACTGGTTAGATTCAAAATGGCCCTGTTGTCCACTTGAGGGGGAGTGTTAAGAGTCCCATATTGATAGCCCAGTTGAGTGACCTTGGCCCAATCTTAGATTATAACACAATGTTTTGCTTATTTGGCATCTTAAAATTTTTGTTGCAGGAATGGCTTGAGACAAATGAGGGCAGTCCTCTGCTGGAGAGCTTGTACAAGGCCTTGGATGAGGTGTGTTTATTTGGACAACAAATTGAGACAACTGCAATGGTCAAGTATTGACATATGATTGGTGCAGGTTGTTAAAGTCACAGAATGTGAAATTTACAGTTACAATCCGGAGGCTGATGCAGATCCGTTACATGAAAAAGGAACCTTGTAAGCTTTCCATTTATATGCCATCACTCTTTGCTATTCATAATGTTTTAGTTGTTGGTTGCTCATCCAAATTATCTTATAAGATGCCTTTGCCCAACTCTTCTGACCATTGCAGCCAATTGTAATAATTATGACGAAATTCTACAGATAATTTGAATATCTAACCCAAGATGTAGGGAAAAGAGCCCATGAATGCATGGACTGTAAATTGTTTTAGCATAAAATGTGATCAAGATAATGGGTGCTTGGGGCAAGATCTCAGAGATCTAAATCTGATTACATTAAGGTGTTTGTCAATTAGATTGAAGTTTATGTCAACTAGTAATCTGGTTTTCTTTTCCTTCTACCTTCTTAAATACTCCATAGTAGAGGAGGCATGACGCATGACCACTTGCAGTTTAAGACCAAGGAGGAAGGGAACTGGACTAATTAACCGCAGCTGTTTCTGATTAGCCATTTTATTGTGAATTTCTAAATTTTATCTTTCACTGCTGACTAGTTCCAGATCCTGAAATGATTGATCTCTGATCTAGTCTGGTCTGGTTGACAGGCCAAACTGGCTTGAGGTCACCTCTATTTGCTTGGAACTAGAAAAGCATCTAGCCATCTATATTGATCACCAGGGGCCAAGAGAACACCTCTGTATTCCTGGTGATTTCCATTTTTCGGGCTTGCTCCAGTCGACAATTAGAATGCTACTTTGTGAAAATTAGGGCTTTCTCATATATTTGCTCTTCTCCAATGGAGTAGAAGATGGATACATATTGAAGTAGATGAATTGAGGTTGGGACAAGAGGGTGACGTGGAGGAAGCAGATTTTGGTGTTTAGCTTTAATTAGGCCGTGGCATGCACCTTTTCAATTTTGTGTCCAACTTGGTACAAGTTGGCCAGAGATTGGTCATTGAACTTGATCTGCATAGTGTGACGAGTAGAAGTTTGTGATAAGGTGAGAGATACTTGAAGGTATGCACCAATTAGACTGCATAGTGAGCTGTGTGTTTGTCTCTTTCAGATGGTCATATCACTTCTTCTTTTACAATAGAAGGTTGAAGCGCATTGTCAGCTTCCGTTTCAGCTGTGTGAGGTAAGGCTCGGTTCTCCTTTTATTACACAACAAAGTTATGTTTTCAAAGACCTGGCTCGTTTAGCGCTAAAATGCATTGCCTTGTGTCAGCAACTTGGCTTTGGTAGATGGATTGAATCACGAGGAAGATGGAGAGATATTCGATGGCATGGACATGTGAAGCAACAGAGTGTTTAGTGCTCTGCAGTGGTGCTGTTTCAGGCCCGAAACTGTGAATGTATATAATGCCATCATGAGTTATTAGGAGATCGATCGTGGTTACTAATCAGACAACTTTCTAATCCGACATTTAACTTGTGTTAATATGTATGAAGATCACGAACAAATGGAGAGTAATAGTTGCAAATTCTCTTTGCTTTTGTATCTGCTCTCTACTAGTGTCTCGTATGTCATTGAATAAAATTTGGGACCTATTATGGCATTCTTTTAATGAACACACGCTCATTATATTCTCTCCACTTTGCTCTCTTCATATATCTAACCTCTTGCCTTTTCTGCGTTTTAGATGGCTGATGTACAAAATGTGTTTCTTTTCGTTTCATACGCATACAAATCAATTATCAATTATCAATTATAGTTATTATAACACATGCTCGTGAGATATAAATTTGTATTGATTTTTATGGGAACTTTCTACGTTTTCCTATGTTTTATTTACTCATTCACACATTTCGGGGCGAAGTTGCCAACTGCCAAGTAGGTACTAGTATGAAGTTAGCTTCTAGGTTTTTATTAACTCAGAAAAACTAACAGCTTGGTGTCGTGGTGTAGTTGGTTATCACGTCAGTCTAACACACTGAAGGTCTCCGGTTCGAGTCCGGGCGACGCTATGAAAAGTTAATGTTTTTGGACCACGCAAGGTAGAGCCAAATTCTTGACTTGGATCTTAATATTTCAAGTTCCCGTTGTTGGGCTTGATAGCGTATTGGAGCCCAATCCCCGGAACAACAGACGTTATGCCATGGAACCGTGTTAGTACACTGTTATCTTTTTTTTTTTTTTCTTAATTAATTGCGTGATTTTTCTTCTTTATTTTCACATTTTGCGATTTCACTTTAATTTGAGATGAACAAAGATTTCGGACATTCATAAATTATGAATTCATGCCTGCACATTCACTTTGGAACCATGCCTACACATTCCCGTCCGAAATCACGGATATTCATAAATTATGAATCCATGTCTGCACATTCACTTTGGAACCATGCCTACACATTCACTTTGGAACCATGAGATTATGAATTTTCTGTTATGAGATTATGAATTTTCTGTTATGAGATTATGAATTTTCTGTTATGAGATTATGAATTTTCTGTTATGCGATTATGAATTTTCTGTTATGCGATTATGAATTTTCATTACATTCATAATTTCGGACATTCATAAATTATGAATTCATGCCTGCACATTCACTTTGGAACCATGCCTACATATTCCCGTCCGAAATCACGGACATTCATAAATTATGAATCCATGCCTGCACATTCACTTTGGAACCATGCCTACATATTCACTTTGGAACCATGAGATTATGAATTTTCTGTTATAAGATTATGAATTTTCTGTTATGAGATTATGAATTTTCAGTTGTGAGATTATGAATTTTCTGTTATGCGATTATGAATTTTCTGTTATGAGATTATGAATTTTCATAAAATTCATAATCTCATAACAGAAAATTCATAATTTGATCAAACGCGCGCCGTTAACTCCACATCCGCGATTTTTTTTTTTTTTTTTTTTTTTGCCTAAAAACGACGTCGTTTTTCCTTGTGTTCACCATTCTCGGTGAACACGATTCCATGGCATAATTTGCGCCGGAACAAGGCAAATTATGCCCTGGACCCGTGTCCACAATGAATTGTGGACACGGGCCCAAAACGATGTCGTTTTTCAAAAAGAACGCGTCATTTAGTTAAAAAAAAAAAATTGCGCGCATTTTGGCGTTAACGACGTTATTATTATTATTATTATTTGGATTATGAATGTACAGTTATGCAATTATGAAATTATGAACACAGAGCTCTAACATTATGAACTTCAATTATGAAGATATATAGTGATAAAATTATGACCATGAAGCTTTAAAATTGTGAATATAGAGCTTCGAAGATTATGAATGTACAATTATGGAGTTATGAATGTACAGTGATAGAGTTATGAATGTACAGTTATGGAGTTATGAATCTACAGTTATGAGATTATGAATCTACAGTTATGGAATTATGAATGTATAGTTATTGATTGAATTATGAACAAAGAGCTCTAACATTATGAACATACAATTATGAACATATAGTGATAAAATTATGAACATAGAGCTCTAAAATTGTGAACATAGAGTTTCGAAAATTATGAATGTATAATTATGGAGTTATGAATGTACAGTTATGGAGTTATGAATGTATAGTTATAGAGTTATGAATGTACAGTTATGGAGTTATGAATGTACAGTTATTAACATATAGTAATAAAATTATGAACATATTGTAAACACAAAAAAGTAAACTTTGTATATATTCCACAAAATTCCTTGTACAGTGTGTGTATAATTCAATGCAGATACAAAATCTCTGTCTAGTCCTCTGGTTCTTCACTAACGTTATCTATGGAAGTGCCTCCGGGATTCAATTAGCGTAGCCTCCGGGATTCAATTGGCGCGTGCCTCCGGGATTCAAGTGGCGTAGCTTCCGGGATTTAAGTGGCGTAACTTCCAACAACGAGCGTCAAGAATTTAGAAATAATCAACCCTGCAAAGTTTCAAAACACATGCAATGGATTCAAGCTGCTTTAAGATCCTCAAACGCCTTCAAAAGACTTCAATATCTTCGAGACAATCAATTCTGCAAAGCTCCAAAGTACCTGCAATGGATTCAAATTGCCTGCAAAATCAACAAAAATGCCTTCAACTTCAAGCGTTCTTCAATGCCTTCGGGCTCTTCAAATGCTCTCAACTCCTTAAGCCTTCAAGTTCTTCCAGCTTTCAAGTGTATTTTGGAATGAAATGAAGGCTCTATTTATACTAAAAGCTTAACCAAAATTCCTCAACCAACTCTCCTTTTTAGTTAACTAATTAATTAATTAACTAATTAGGAAAATGAACCTTGCCCAAGATCAAGTCCAGGTTCATTATTGTATAATCTAATTCAAATTCAAATTAAATTATAATTATCTAATTCAAATATAATAAAATTAATATTATATTTAAATTATAATTATAATTTAAATTCAAATATGAAATGGGCTTGGGCCAATTAATTAATTAATTCAATAGCCCAAATCAAATTCAATTGGACTAATCAAATAAATTTATATGATCTAATTAATTAAATTGGCCCAATAATCAATTCTGATGTCGGTCCAATAACTATTTATCAGTCCATTTGTTGGGTTCAAATTTTCTGTGTCTACAAATTGCCCCCTCGAGACTTGTCGGGACATGCCGTCTGACGTGCTTGGTGCGAGAAAGTCTCGAAACTTGACAACCGGGCCGTTAAATTCATCATAGTCTATATTAATTCCCTGAGTGATTTGAGTCTAAAAATCATTCTAAGGTGAAGTTAGAGTAATGTAATTACATAGGCCCCAACACATGAATTTTTTTTTTTTTTTTTTTGGCATGTTGAACATTGAACTCAAGCTAACCCCTTTGACATCTCTGCATGTTATGACATGCACACTAGATATTTCAAAGCCCAAAGGCCCATCATTTTAAGATGATGAAAACTGAGTTACGATGCGTGTTGAAGCCAGACCGACTTGGTCTCAAACTCATCCCATACGTAATTTCAGTGGCTATCTAACAACTTCATTCAATCACGATAAGATAATTTCAGTGGCTATCTAACAACTTCATTCAATCACGATAAGATTAGGAGTATAATCTGACACTAACGCTTCTCCCAGTACACTATAAATATTGTCTCTATCATCCCCAAATTTACTGCAATCAACGAAGCAAACAAGAGCAAACACAACATTTGGCTTTCCTTCAACAAGGTAACCTCTACTCTTTCCTTTATTCTTCGCTATGCATTTTATTTACAGGAGTAGGAAGAGGAAGAACGGATACGATACAGCTGCAGCGTGAAGGAAAGAAGAGACCGATCACCTGTCATTTAATTTTCTACCGACTGTTGCCGGAGATCGCCGCTGTTGAGTGTAGTCGGAGTTTTTTGTTTTTTTTTTTTTTTTAGTTAAAGGCGCCGGAGACTGCCACTGCGCTGCCGAGACGGCCGGAGGTAGATGGGATCACCAGGTTGTTGAGTCGCTGCCCAGCTCTATCCTTCAGAAGTTGATGCCCTCTGTTCATCTCTGCTTCTTGACCGCTTGGAGTTCGATGCTGCTAGACTACTGCTCGCAGGAGCTTCGCAGGAGTCGCCGGAGCTCTCCCTGCTATTTTAGGAGGTTGCCGGAGTTCTTCAAGGAGGTCGCCGGAATTCGTTCTTCGTCGAAGTCGCCGGAAGTTCGTAGCAAAAGTCGTCAGAATTTACTGCCAAAATTTCCGGAGATCCATCGTTGTCTTCTCCGGAGTTCTTCGTCGAAGTCACCGCAGAGACGTGGTCCGCCTTCGAACTGCCGCCGTCGAACGAGAATGGAACAACCACCAGGGCGCGGAACTATTTTTCCTTTTGCAGAAGTCGCAGGTCGTCGGAATTTTCTGAAGGTTGCTGGAGTTCTGTTCGTCTTGCCGATTGTTGGAGTTCATCGGACGAGACTTTTGTTTTTTTTTTTTTTTTCGCAGAAGCCGCCGGTAGCTAGAGCTTTCTACAACATCGCAAATTTGCGTAGTGTTTTAACGGAGACTTCTGGGTTGTTGCTTCGCTGACGGAGACTTCTCAAAAGGGTTGTTGCTTCGCTGATGATTAAAGGAGACTGGATGGGAGGACACCATTTTAATGTGCAGCTGGGTCTATATGCAGGACTCCCAAGACAATCCTTTTCTCACACCACGTGATTGCAGAAGTGCAGCGCTGACACCATGCTATGCTTAGCTATGGCTGGGCCCTACATGACAACCCTCCATATGCAAACATATTATATCACACTAATACATTAACACCACAAACATATATCCCCACATATGTACATACATAATTTTTCTTTCCCTTTTTTTTTTTTTTGCTCTGCTTTTTTTCATTTTCTGTTCTCTTTTTTGTTTTGTTTTTTTTTTATTCGTTTTCTGTTTTTTTTTTGTGTTTTGTCTTTCGTCTTTTGTTTTATTTTTTCCTTCTTTTTTACTCTCTTTTCATTCTTTGCTCTTGTCTTTCTGTTTCGTTTTTTTCTTTTCTTTTGCTTTGTCTTTTCTTCTTTTTTTTTTCACTCTCTTTTTTTTTTTACTTTGCTTTCTTCTTTTTTTTTCTTTCGTAATTTTTATTACTTTCTTTTGTCGATAATAACTAATATAACGTAATATAATAATGTTATATTAGAAAAGCCCACCAACTCTAATGTTACATAATAATAATAATAATAATAATAATAATAATAATAAAAAACTAACGTTGTATATATATGTACATAGTATATATGTAATCCACATGTAGTATAAGTATACAACCATTACTGCATAGACCATGGTCCATAAAATTGTGTGGACCATAGTCCAAAAAAAAAAAAAAATTGCCATATATATATAATTCGTCAATTTAATTTTGTGTTATGTATATGCTATATATTTGTGCATAATATATCATAGTTATTGTTTTTTTTTTTTTTTTTTTTGCAGCGACTTTTCGACTTTGACACATTCAAGATGGTGTACTTTCAAGATCAACGACGTAACGGGCAAGATGTCATGGTTATATCGAGCAGAAATAGTGATCATCAAGTCATACTGAGGGTTAACCCACCCATAGTACTACGCGACCCGCCAAAGCTCACGGTGTCGTATCATGCGAGTAACTGGACCCCCGAGTACGAATGCCCGCCATCCAAGGTGTGGACCTTGCTACCCGGAATGCAGCACCAACCTTCCAAAGACACCCTTCCTACACTGGGGCATCGTATACTTAATGCTGAGGTCTCGTGGGGCCAAGACATAGACTTCGAGGGCGAATTCACTTTTCTAAAAGGATATTGGGAGTGGGTTGAAGAAATGCTTCACTTCTCCCACGACACCTTAAAGGAGGGGAAGATATATGATGCTGTGTTTGCGTCATTATTTACATATGACCGTAACATCAATATTGTCAAAGCCTTCTGCGAAGCATGGTGCCCAAGAACCAACACCCTGATCACCTCGTCTGGTGAGGTGAGCATATCGCTTCGGGATTTGCACGTTCTTGGGGGACTACCACTGTCCGGCGGTATTTACGACGAACACATCCCGAGTGCCCTGGACCTAGAAAGGGGCCCAAACAGGTGTTGTGCAAGCTTATTCGAGGCCTTTTATCTTTTAAACCAGCAAGAGGGTGGCACCCCCTTTGTTCAAGCATCGCAATGGATTGACTTCTGGTGCAGAAAACCGCGAACACATCCAGCTCCTCCACCTCCATCTCAAAAGGACAGGAAATCTCGGCCAAAGAATACCCACAACCCAAGCGGAGAACTTAACAAATCCCTCAGGTGGTTAGATATGAGCAGGACGCCCTTTCTCGAACTAGGCATCTCCCGGCGTTTCGAAAAGGAAGCTTACTTGGCCGCGTTTTTATCTTGTTGGTCCAGAGACACCAACAAGAACCATTCGCCCAGAGACTTTCAAGATAGCATGTATGATGGCTAAAGGAGATAAGATATGTCTTGCGGCTCCAGTACTTGCTAGTATTTATTCTGGTTTAAACTCAATCTCGGAATCCCACTCTCCTGGTCAAATAGGAGATCCTTTTCCAATCCATTACGTGTACAGCTGGCTAGCAACTTACTACCAAACCCACTTTAAGACCCCCAGCTTCACGTTAGCAAACCCAAAGATGGTCACTAATTCTGGGGAAGGTGGTGCAAGGTATTACACCGAGATGGATGCCCGCAAGAAGATATTCAAAGGGGACGTTTCTTGGCTCTGCAACTCCCGCAAGGATAATAGAGATTTTATCTTTTACGACAACCGTAGAGGGAGTAGGGAAGACTTTGAGTACTTCATATGTTTGCGCCCCAGCTTCCTCGTTTTGCGCCGAGGGTCTCAATGCAAAGCTGAGCCTTACATGCCGCATCGCTTCAGTCGTCAATTTGGATTCTATCAAGCATATGCCCCCGGCCTGTTGGCGAAAGATGTCCGTTATGCTTCACTCACCGAAGGATTCCGACTTCATCGCCAATATGATAATATCAACTCCCAATCTAGGGCGACATTTCCCATGAGCCCGGCTGCTCCAAAGAAGCATTTTTCGAACGAGTACAAGGCCTGGTTGATCGATGTGAGTGCAAACCTTCTCGAGAATCATTTCACAGACATAGCCGTTAACGGAAACCCAAACGTACCTGTTGGCGAGGAAGGAACTCAAGAACAAAGAGACCAATTGACCACCTCAAGGAACAAAAAAACACCTGCACAAGAGGACATGTCATCTCGGGATAGGGCCTCAGGACATGCCGTTCGAAGGAGCAGGGAGGAGAAAGCGAGGCAGCGAAGCTCGGACGAGGACGCTGGTAGTGATGACGACCAAGATCGCTGTTGGAAACGGCCTAGAGGGAGACCATTGAACCAGGTTAAGATACTTCCCCAAATTCTTCCGTTTTGTATATCGTTGGACTTTGGCCTTTGTTAACGTACATGCACTACTTCTTACAGGATCCTGCCGAGCCACATGTTAGCAACGATGTCCAGTCATCAAATCACCCAGTCTTCAATGGGACAAAGTGGCGGAAGCTCTAATACCCTTGACCTAGAGGTAGAATCCCACCAGTCGACGTTGCCCTTAAACACAACTCCTCAGGAGATGCAGCCAGAGCCGTCCCAAGCCTCTATCTTCCCCGGCGAGGAGTCGTTTATATCACAATACATGGCTTTCATTGTTGGAGTTTGGAGTAGTATCTGCTGGAAGCTTAATGAGATTCCAGCTGAAAGAATTTCTTCTTTCCAAGGAAGCGTTGAAAGACAACTCCAAGAAATGGGACGGGATGGGGTGGACCTATCAACATTGAAGCGACGAGTGGCCGAGTTCTTTAACAAAGCCAAAGATTACGATCGGGCGCGGTCGCAGCTCTTGAATGCACTGCCCGTTGAAACCCAAGCCGCGAAGCTAGTTCTAACGCAAGGTGTCCTTATAGAAGCTCAACGGAAGTGTTCTCAAACCGAAACGTTTTTTCTTGACGAACAGAAAACCCTCAAAGACGCCGCCGATCGAAAAGCCCTCCTGGAGAAAATGATAAAGGATGCGCAGGAAGAGTTGAAGGAGATTGAAGCCAAGAACCCGGAACTCCAAGACCGTGTGACGAAGGCTCAAGAACAACATAACGCATCGCAAGAGGCCGTGACCACCGCTGAGGAGGAAGTTAAACGTATTCGAGACTGCCCCACGTTGACAGATGAAGATGAAGAAAAGCTTACTTCAATCAAAAGAGAGCTGGAAGCGTATAAGGAAGATCTCATGAGCTTTAGAATACTTTAGATTTTTTTTTTTTTTTTTTTGTTTTTTTGCTTAGATTTTTTTTTGTATAACGCATGAGTTTTATACTTGGAAACAAGACTTGAATACGACTTGAATTCTCTTATCTTTTCAACAATACTTGCAAACAATTGAACTTGAGCATGAACAGAAGCAACTAAGTCTAAACCCAAACGAGTCACTCTAATAGAAATCTGACAAAAGAATTCACCCGTAATTACAACATGAACAGAGATGACCCATCTCCAATACATCTACATTATTCGAACAAACGTGACATAAAAGGGGACACAAAGGGGTTTATTTTAGTTATGACTGAACTTAGAAGAGGAAGTGTTTCTAAGCTGCCTACGTACTCCTGCAAAGGAGATCAAGTCAAACGTAGTTCAAAGGGCCATTTGAATAGGTAGGGCCGTTCACAGTTTAAACTCAAGCGGGCCAGGAGTTTACCGTACACAGTTTAAGCTCGTGCGGGTCAGGAGCGTCTATGACTTGGGCCCACCCATAGACAAGCGAGATGCATTAGCAATTTAACCACGTGCTGCATTTTTGGTGGATATCACTCGTCATGTAGTCCGTGTGCTTAGGGATGATAGATCTTTAAGAATTTCCCGTTAATTGGGCCAACTCGCACACCATCTTCATCAATTAGCTTGTAAGCACCTCCTGAGTATGCTTCTTGTACCACGTACGGTCCATCCCATTTTGGAGTAAACTTGTGCCCAGTTTTCCTTGTAATAATGATAGGCCTACGAACCGCCAACACCTTGTCACCCACCTGAAATGAGCGAATCCTTACCCTCTTGTTGAAAGCTCTAGAAATTCGAGCTTGATAGCATTCTAAACTTTGTTGAGCCTGTAACCTCTTCTCGTCGAGAGCTTCTAACTCTGCCAACCGCAACTTTACATTATCCTCGTCTGTAAGGCCTTCTTAGATAGCTAACCTTAGAGAAGGTATTTGGCGTTCAAGAGGCAAAACTGCTTCAACCCCATATACCAGTGAGTATGGAGTGCTTTGTGTTGGTGTACGGTATGTAGTTCTGTATGCCCACAGTGTTTCTTCCATCCTCTCTTGCCAATCACGTTTTGACTTCGACACCACATTTTTTAGTAGATTGCATAGAGTTTTGTTAAAAGCCTCGGCAAGTCCATTTGCAGCTGCATAATAAGCTGATGAATTTCTTTGCTCGAACTCAAAAAGTTTGCAGATTTTATCCATCAATTTATTATCAAATGGTTTCCCGTTGTCGGTTAGGATGTACCGAGGGATGCCAAAACGATAGATAATGTGAACTCGGATGAAATCTGCAACATTTTCCTTCTTCACCTCCTTTAAAGCCACTGCTTCAGCCCACTTTGAGAAATAATCGGTGGCTGCTAATATATACGAATGCCCCGCTGATGACTTGGGTGTAATAGGACCAACCACATCGAGCCCCCATGCATCAAGTGGCCACGATGCTACCGTCGGATGTAGCGGTTCAGGAGGTTGATGGATAAAGTTCGCATGAAATTGACATGCTTGACATCTCCGTGCATAGTCTATGCAATCCTTCACCATCGTAGGCCAGTAGTAACCCATTCTTTTGATGTGAAAATGTAACTTAGGACCAGACTGATGAGCACCGCACACTCCAGAGTGAGCCTCCTCCATCGCTTGTAAAGCTTCCTCCTCGCCTAAACATCGAAGAAACACACCGTCAAACGAGCGCCGATATAGCGCATCCTTGAAATATATGAAACAAGGAGCTCGACGTCTTACGTCTACCCTCCTACGAGGGTCTTGAGGTAACTTCCCATCAATAAAGTAGTCAATCAATGATTGCCTCCAATCCTCTTTATCTACCTCATAGACAGAAGCAGTCGGGAGTTCAACAATGTCGTCAAGAGAGCCATCGTCTTCGAAGATTGGAGGGACCACCCATTTTTGGCATACTCGTAACCGAGCCTCATCTATAGGATGTGATATAGTTGAAGCCAAAACAGCTAAGGCATCGGCTTGCTTATTATGTTTCCTTGGAATGTGCTCCATCGTAGCATCTCCTAGCCAATGCAGGAGCATCTTTGCATAACTGTTGTATGGGATCAACTCTGGCTTTTTTACTTCGTAAACCCCAAGTACTTGGTTGATAATCAGTTTGGAGTCTCCGTATATGTTAACCCTTAGTTGCTTCATATCAGCTGCAATTTCAAGTCCCAAAATGAGTGCCTGATACTCGGCAACATTATTCGAGCAGTGTTCTGTCAAGGTAAATGAATAAGGAAGCACTTCCCCTTCAGGCGTAACAAAGACAACTCCAGCGCCTGCCCCCTCTTTGTGTGCCGCTCCATCAAAGTACATCTTCCATGGAGGTAAAACTTCAACCACAAGCACATCCTCATCAGGTAGGTCACTGGACAGCTCCCATTCGGCAGGAATTGGATGATCAGCTAGGAAATCCGCTAAGGCTTGCCCCTTGATGGACTTTTGTGGTACATAAGTGATCTCAAACTGTTGAAATAATAAGTACCACCTAGCAAGTCGATCGGAAAGAACAACCTTTGACATGACATACTTCACTGGGTTTGCCCTGGAAACTAGTCGAATTGTATGCGCTTCGAAATAATGCTTGAGCTTCCTGATGGCGAATACAAGGGCCAGACACAACTTCTCAATTGGCAGATATTTGAGCTCATTTGGCGTCATCATTCTACTTAAATAATAAAGGGCATTTTCTTTCCCGTTATCATTCTCTTGTGCAAGTAAAGCACCCACCGAGCTTTCTTGGGCGGAGATGTAAAGGATCAGCGAGCGTCCTGGAATTGGAGCAGTTAGCATAGGCGGCTTCATTAAATAGGACTTGATGCTTTGGAAAGCATTCTTGCAGGCCTCATCCCATACAAATGGGACACCCTTCTTCATTAACCGGCTAAAGGGCTGACATCTTCCTGCTAGGTTTGATATGAATCTTCTTATATAAGCCAACTTCCCTTGCAAGCTTTTAAGCTCATGAAGGTTCTTTGGCTCAGGCATCTTCATTATAGCGTCGATCTTTGCTTGTTCGATCTCAATGCCCCTATGTCGAACAGTAAACCCAAGGAATTTGCCAGCAGCAACCCCAAAAGCACATTTCAGGGGGTTCATTTTGAGTTGAAACTTCCGCAAGCGGTCAAATACTTGTCTTAGATGCATCATGTGATCTATGCGGAGTTTCGACTTCACAACCAGGTCGTCTACGTAACATTCCACCATTTTATGCAGCATGTCGTCAAATATAGTCTGCATGGCCCTTTGGTATGTAGCACCTGCATTTTTCAAACCAAAGGGCATCACTTTGTAGCAGTAGATACCTTTTGGCGTACGAAACGCAGTAAACTCCTCATCTTCTGGCGCCATGCGGATTTGATTGTAACCGGATGAGCCATCCATGAATGACATGATCTCGTGTCCAGTTACAGCATCTATCATTAACTCTGTGATAGGGAGCGGGAAGTCATCTTTCGGGCATGCAACATTAAGATCTCGAAAGTCTATGCACACGCGGATCTGGCCATTCTTCTTGCGCACAGGCACAATGCTGGATATCCAAGTTGGGTATTTAACTTCGCGAATGAAACCAGCCTCTATAAGCTTGTTGACTTCTGCTTCGATTGAGGGAATGAGCTCGGGGCGGAAGCGCTGTTGAGCTTGCTTAATCGGGCGACACCCCTTTTTTACTGCCAAGCGGTGCACGGCTATCTTTGGGTCCAACCCTGGCATCTCCTTGTATGTCCATGCAAATACATCGATATATTCTTTCAAAAGTGTGACATATATTTCTTCATCTTCATTGGAAAGGAGTGAACTAATGAAGATAGGTCGAGGAATTTCAGGAGTTCCTAGATCCACCTCTTTTAGTTCGTCCACTGCGGCTTGTACCCCTTCTTCTAGCTCTTGAGGTGCATCTTCTGCATCTTCACCCTCGGTTGGAATGTCATCGTATAATGTTATATGAAATGACGATGCCATCTCATCTTGACTTGGTGTTGCCTCACAACTTGAATCAATATTTTCTTGACTTCTTTCTTGCACTTGGGTGTGTACAATGGTTCTTGGTTGGACCTTCAAAACTTCAACACACGAGACATGGATATTAACTTCTCTTCTCATGCGAGATGGAACGGCACTCCTGAGCCTTTTTGAGGGTTCCATTTCAGTAGGAGGGTTGGTCTGCTCCTTCGAACTCTGAGTAGGCCCAATTCTGTCATGTACTGATTTTCTCTTAGTAGGTTTGGGATTCAGCCCAAGTCTACGGAAGACTAATTGTCGTACTTCTACATCTCCGATTCTATAAAAAAACAGACTGTTTCTTGTCACCTTCCTCCTCATCTGTAGAAGTGATGCAATTACTTGTGGCTCTGTTTATGAATATTCGCACTGGCTTAGGGGGAATATAACCCAATCCTTTCCGTTCATGTGGCTCCTGCTGATTGGACTTGCCTTTACCACCAGCTTCTGGGATGAGTTTCCCCAGCTTTTGTGGCTCCTTGGGATCATATCCAGCTTTGAATAGAAGTTTATATGCATTAGGGTCGAAGCCGCCAGTGCGCTTAGCGGGCACTGTTTGACTTGCCCCAACTTGAGCTTCATCTTCAAGCAATTTAACTGGAGCTGCTGCTTTTAATGTTTCAATCCTTGCGAGTGGGAAAACAAGTTCCTTGTCGCGATGAGATTGGTCTACAACTTGCTTGCCTTTCCACTTTGGATCAAGAGGTGTGTCAACATTGCTTTGCTCAGCCTCCTCTACAACTTGTTTCTTCAAGTAAAACTTTGCATCTGCAAAGTATGATTCTGCTTCAATGAAGGGAGTTTGATCAGCGACTATCTTTTCTATCACCCCGCCTTTTTCAAACATGAGGCATTGGTGCCAGGATAAGGGAACTACTCCGTTCTCATGTATCCAAGGCCGGCCCAGCCGCAAGTTGTACGACGTCCTTGCATCTATCACATAACATAATATGCTTGAGTTTAGTGTCCCGATCCTGAGGTCGAGTCTGATGGTACCCAGGGCTCTTTGTCCGCCTTGATTAAATCCTTGGATCATTAAGCGGCTTTGAGAGAGCTCATC